CGCAACCCACCAGCTGGCTGCCGTTGGCCCCAAAGTTCTTTCCATACTCCGCCTTCCAGTCGTTGAACAGCTGGCGGCGCTCGGCTGAGGCCTGCAGCCAAGGGGGGCACAAGGGCGGAAGGGCCGTCGGCGGCCCGAGCGGGCACTAACGGGACCGGCCGGGCTGCTGCCTGCAGGTAGCCTACCAGCGCCTGAAGCTGCGCTGCGGCAGTTCGGGCTTCCTCCTTGTTCTTGTAGCCCTTGGTCTGTGGCTTGGCTGCCGCTGCCAAGAGCGCCCAGAGAGTCGCTGCCAAAAGGACGCGGTACAAGGCGCCCTGCAGGGCCCTCATCGCTGTTCCCTTCTGGTGGCAGGGGCAGCTGTGTGCAGTGTAGGGCCAACAGGTCGCTTGGGGGACGGGAGGGAAGGGCAGCTTCTGCGTCCTCCGAGTTGACTACCCAAGCCCAGCACCGTCTCTGATGGGTTTCTGAGCCCGGGGAAGGGGTTGAAACAGCTCAGGGCGGTGTGACGTGATGGAGGCGGCCTTGCTGGACAGCAATGTGCAACTGTCCGCTCACAGCATTGCTCCGGTTTCAATGCGGCTTTAGCAAGATGGCGTGCAGCACGGATCAAAAGGACCCAGGGATGTGCAGCCGCGAGGCTTCGTTCCCTGCAACGTTTTGGGGGGCCATGCATCGCTGGCTTGGAGCGGCAGGCAGCAGCGTGCATTGGTGGAGGATGTATTAGCTAGCGCAAGCTGGGTGCACACTGGCCCTGACCACAACCGGGATGCTGCGCCGCCGCCAAGCGGCAGGCACGGTGCCAGCTGGTGACCGTTTCTGAGTTGCCTCTCGCACCGTGGACATATGTTGTTAGCAAGAATTGGTCACGGCGCCATCGGGAGCAACGCAGCGTGCATGAAGCAGAGAGCAACAGGCTGGCTGGCTGGCAGGCGGGCCCGCAACAAGCCAGAGGCGTCTCGCCGGGGTGCCTGCCGCACCCACACGCTACTGCCCCGCCGCCGCCTGCCCAAAGATCTGCTGCAGCGCCGCCATCTGCACCGGCGTCAGCTGCTCGCTGCCCGCCTGCATCAGCTGGGGCTGCGCCGCCGCCACGCGCTGGAACACCTCGCGCACTGCAGCAGGTGAAGGCAGGGAGGGAGGGAGGCAGCATGGGAGAGGCGAGTGAGGCCTCGGGGGGGCGGCACGTATCCCTGCCAGCCAGCCAGCCGGCAACCACTTCAAGCTCCCCAAACCGCCCAAACCTCAGCCAGCAGCAGCACCACCACAAGCAAGCCAGAAGGCCCCCCGGCCCCGCCAGCGGCAGGCACGCGCATGCAGGCAGGCAGCCCAGCCCGCCCGCCCGCCCGCACCCGTGGCGGCAATGTCGAGGGCGGAGACGGGGTCGGCGGCGCGGCGGGCGGCCTCCTTTGGGTCCACATTGGAAAGCGCGGCATCCTCGGCGTTGAAGCCGCCGTCGTCCTCAAAGGCAGCGGCAAAGCGGCGCACCGCGCTGCGCACCGAACCTGCGAGGATGCGGGGGTGGGGTGGGGTGGGAGGGAACCGTGGGCGGGCGGCCGACAGGTGCAGCGGCAGGGCACGCAGGCACCGCGTCAGAGCCGGCGGCGGGCAAGGCGGCGGCGGTGCGTGGGCGAGGCTGCAGCCGGGCGACACGCGGCTGCCAGCGGCGGCGGCGGCAGCTGGGCTGGGCGCCGCGCACCCATAGCGGGCGCGCGCGGCTCCTGCTCCGCATCCTCTGCCTCCTCCTCCTCGCTGCCCTCCGCCTCCTCCCACTCCCCCTCGCTCTCCTCCACTGCAGGCAGGCGGGCAGCATTGGATATGCGAGCGTGTGTGTGTGCGTGTGTTGCTGATCATGGCGTGTGGTGGGGAGGGCTCAAGACAGCCGGCTGCCAGTTAGGGAGATGGCGACAGGGCCAGCGCCCGCCATCTGCCCCACCACCACCC